CAGGTGGCTATATAAAGAGGATGAAATAATCCATCTTTCTCTCTCCTGTGTGACTCTGGTGTGAGTATCTGACTATGTTCTGTATATGACTATCTGATGATTGATTGTTTGCAAGTACAAGGAATGTGGACCTGTGTATCCTGTTTGTCCATATGTATATATTGCAACTGTGAAGATTAAAAGCTTTCAGATATTTTGTATGAAACCTAAATCCGTGAATCTACTATAGTGTGTAGTTAAGGTCAGATGCTAACAGTTGGACTGTGCTAATTGATGAGTTGAAGCACATGTTTTGCTGTGAAAGGACAATGCTATATTTTTGCTTGTTTATGCGATACTTGCTATCTAGCTTGCAGTGGTTTGGGGAGGTCATGATCTGGAAACTATAAATCACTTCACGTACCAGCACATCTCATGACAAATTCTATCAGGACAGTTGTATAGCAAGCAGTTTAAGGCAACCAACCAAACTGCTAGTAGCTTTAGCAACTTTTCTAATGGCAGAAAAAGAAGATTTGGAAAACCTGTAATGAGCTTCATTTCACTTGGCAGGAAGGTAGATTACTTAACACAATGGTTTTCATTTTATCATTTGGGAGTTGTAGTTGCTGGGATTTATAGTTAACCTACAATCAAAAAGCATTCTGAACTCCACCAATGATTGAATTGACCCAGTCTTGGCACACAGAACTTCCATGACCAACAGAAAATACTGAAAGGGTTTGGTGGGCATTGACCTTGAGTTTTGGAGGAATTGTTCGCCTACATCCAGAGAGCACTGTGGACTCAAACAATGATGGATCTGGACCTAACTTGGCATGAATACTCAATATGCCCAGATGTGAACACTAGTAGAATTTGGAGAAAGTAGACTTGACATTTGGGAGTTGTAGTTGCTGGGATTTATAGTTAACCTACAATCAAAGAGTACTCTGAATCCAGCCCACAATGGAAGTGCACCAAACTTGGCACACTACCTGCATGGCAAACAATACTGGTGGCCCTGGGGGGGGGGGGGGCTGTAGTTCATCAACACCAAAAAGGAAGAGAAGGACAGGCGGAGAGATTTTCAGCCTTCTCTGCCACAAGGGTTCCTAAGACCATCAGAAATATGTGTTTTCTTATGGTCTTTGGTGACCCCGGTGAAAACCCCTGTGCAACCCCCCCGGGATCCTGACCCCAGGTTGAGAAACACTGACTCAAAGAGATTCTGTTACAGTAAATCAGGGCTAGAAAAATTAGTTTTGTCCAGATACTGGGATTGCATCCCATATAATTCCAAACTATTAATTGTGATGGCTGGGCTTCCATGTGTTAACAGTCTAAAAATGGAGACCACCCTTTTGTTTACCCATGTTACATCAATGAACTTGGGAGTATGAATGAGATAATCGTTTTGCTTTACCCATGCTTTCTGGTATTGTTGCTAAATCACTTATTTGCCGACTTGGATGCCATAGTAACTGCAGTCTCTGAAGATGTAACATGCGCATCCACTTGTCCGGTTTTAATAGATCCATTTCAATTGGTGAAACCCAAGGACATGGAAAAATCCTTGGAGAGGTCAGGGCAATCACATGTATCCTGGACCCCTGCCCATCCTGGATGATAAAGGAGGCCAGAGGGGGTTTGGCAGAGTGGGTGAAGGTGGTAGTTAACACCTCCTTACAAGAAGGGTAGATTCTAGCGGGCATAAAGAGGCCATGATCAAACTGCTGTTGAAAAAAACCATCACTGGAACCCACTCAATTGAATAACTTTGGGCCAGGTTCCATTCTCCCCTTTTTGGACAAAGTCTTGGAAATGTGGTCAACTTGCAACTTCAGGTATTCTTTGTGGATGATCTATAGAGAGAACTGGACAGGGGGAGTGTGTCCCTGATGAATCACTTGTACCTCTCAGCTGCTTTCTATACTGTAGACCACGGTATCCTTCTGAGATGTCTTGTGGGAATGGGGTTTGGACCAGTGGCTCTGGTCCTTCTTGGAGAGTTGCTCTCAGTATTTTTCATCAGATATAATTTTACGCACTGAATCTAATTGATATAAGTGCGTAAATGCATTGATTATTAGATTTGCCTCATAGCAAAAACTACATGTGATAGAGAAAAAATAAACAGAGATCTGAATTCAGCGCAAAAAAAACTCTGTAATAATGATATAAAATCATATCTGATGAAAAATACTTGTTGGCTTGTGTTACACGAATATTATATGAAATGTGCAGACTTTACAATAGTCCACTGTAATGTACCATTCATCATATTTTTAAAAGTTGACATGATGGGGAAAAAATAAAGATATATTTGAAATCAACATAAAATTGATTTAAACTGTACTACACTTATTTCTGATGATTACAAAAAGTTTGATTTTGTTGTCTTGTGTAATTTGAAATAAAATGTATAGCTAAAATGAAAAAAAAAAAGCTATGTTGTGAAACTGTTCTCCTTTGGTCAGTTACGTTGATGTTCAGGGATACAACTCCTAATAGAATAAATTCTCTTTAAACCATCATCTTCCCCCATGCATCCTGTGATAATATAAATATGAATAGTAAGAATATAACATTCCAAATACAATATTTGGAGAAGCAATAAATAGCTATCAAGTGCTTAGGAAGATAAGATTCCTTAATTATATTAAGTGATTCAATAATTAACATTTCTTAAAATTTGGTCATTCAATATTTATATTAGTAATTTTGTTTTTCATATTACACTTTTTCATATTACACTATGGTCATGTTACACATCTGTTTTCTCCATTTTTTTCTAGAATTCATAGGCAAGATTTCTTTTTACTATATTTTCCTTTCTACAGATTTGCTTGTTAATATTTTCCAATCTGTATGAATGTTCTTTACACTTACATCTGCTAGCGAAGACAAGGTGTACTCCCACCAGATATTGCAAGAGTATTGTATATATTTGAACACATTTCCAATGAAGCATATATTATAGCCATCTCACTTCTCCATATAATGAAAAATTCCACACTGCAAAATTTCAGTACATTCCCAATATCAATTTCTGAAACACATTGTTACAAGTGTTATTTCAGCCAGCAAAAATGCATTCCCAAACTCAAGCCACCTGGGAAAAGGGTATGAGTTCAGGAAAAGTAGGATGACAGTGTAATTTAAATAGGTGTTTAGGAAGTTTGGTGAAGCTACAGGTTCCTCCGGAAGTCATGGTTTACTCCAGGTTTTGGGAAAAGTTCTGAAGTATCCTACAGCTTCCATTAATATGATTCAAGGCTGTATTAAAATGCTCTAGCACACATTAACCCAATTTTTTGTCACACAATTGCCAGGGAGGTGATTCAGGCTCGTGCCCCCCCCCCTTTCAGAGTAACGTGTTAGTGAAGATGGAAAGATGGACCCATAATTTTTGAAAAACCACTGGTCATGCTCCTCTTGCTGGTTGTGTATCTTCTCTCCTTGTCTAGTATACATTGGGGTGGTATAGTAGATAAACATGGCCCAGTACTCAAAAATAGATAACTTTCATGGAATCATAAGAGTTGAAATGTTCATTCCATTTTTAGATGACATCATATATTTAAAGTTGGCTATCAGTTCACCTCTTGGTACACTCTCCTCCAGGATAAACACACCAAGCATCCTAAACATGTCTCACATGGGTTGCTTTCCAGAATTTATGGCCATCTTGGTTATCTTTCTCCAATATGGTCCAATATGACAATATCTTTCTTGAACTATGGTGTACAGAACTGTCACTATGTTTCAGATCCGTTTTGACTGAAACAAAACAGAGTGGTACTGATACTCCTGTTGCAGCCTATAATTGCATCAGCTTTTTGGCTCCCAATTTACACTGTTTACTTATGTCTAGCTTGTGTACTAAAATTCCTATATCCTTTTTACATGTTCTGGTGTCAAGACAGGTGTCATCCATCTTTTATTTGTTCATTTTATTTTTTGTGCCTCAATATATTGTAACTTCCATATTTTTAAATCAATTTAGCTAGTTTTTTGCCCAGTTCTCCTGAGGTCATTTTGGACTTTGATGATTTCCTCTTGGATATTAGCTCCCTCATCTCATTTAGTGTCATTTGCATTTACTATGTTCTGTCATCCAGTTCATTTGTATAACATATTAAATAGCACTGGGTTTAAGAAAAAAATCCTGTGATACCCCTCTAGTCATTTTTATCCAGGATAAAAAGAGATGTTTGGCGAGCACTCTCTATGTTTAGTCAATCAACCAGTTACAGATCTATTAAACAATAGAAATCTAATGATGTAATAATCTTTTAGTAGGATTATTTAATTGAATCTTTAATGATGTAATAATATTGCCCTTTTCCTTTTTGTTTCAGTTAAGAGGGAGGGTGGGTGTTGCTATTCCCTTTTCCTTTCTTTTTCTTTTGTGTTTTCTTTTTCTGAATGCATATTTCTTTGTGGAGATCGTTTGTGTTAGATTTTGACCAGATTGTCTGCAGGAATATCATGGTTATCCATCTCAAAAGCTATACAGAAATCACGTTAGTCTACATTTTAGCGTTCACCAGATCAAGCTTATAATTCCATCAAGAAAAGAGATGCTATAAATCTGGAAAAAATATTTTGGGAACCCCAGTTTCTTTTCCAGCAGTGTATAGTTGGATTTTCAGTGGGGAACTGCCATTATTCTGGGATGGCTGGATACTATACATCCTTGTAGATCCCTTATCGCTTGATTGCTAATGCTTTTAGGAAGTCCAATCCAATAATGTCTGCAGAGTTGTGTTAGGGGAGAGGCAGGTAAAAATACATTTAAGTGAAATTTACACCCCAGTTTGTATTCAAGAATTGCTTGTTCCCTGAACATTGAGTCACTAGATATATAGAGAAATAGGCAGCTTGAACAAGATTCATGTCTGATTTTCCGTCTTTTGTATTACAACATTTTCCTTGTAGGAACAATACTTGTGTAACACAGCTCAACTAATTCTTATTCTCTCTCTCTCCCCCCCCCCCATTTCCCCCTTTTTCAGGTGCCTTAGCTGGACCAGTTGTTGATCCACATGTGAGAGCAGTATGGGGGAAGAATGTTACACTGAAGTGCATAATTGATATAAATGAAACGTTAACACAAATTACATGGGAGAAAATACAAGGAAAGAATGCTCAGACTGTTGCTGTTCACCATCCTGATTACGGATTTTCTGTTCAAGGAGATTATCAAGGAAGAATATCACTTAAAAACACATCACTTACTGATGCATCTATCATCCTAAAGAATGTAACCTTCTCTGATTCTGGACAGTATGTATGCAGAGCAGCTACATTCCCACTAGGAAATTTTCAATCAACAACGTCAGTAACTGTCTTGGGTATGATTTTTTATATTTATTTTTTCAACATTTCACCTAAAATATTTCAAGATCAAAACTAAAACTGGCAATTTGTCAAATTAGATCCATGTTTGCACACCTATGAACAGAAGCACCATTTTTCTAGTGATCTGTGAACTAGCAGAGGCTTCCTGTTAGAGTTTTTTTTTAAGGCAGTGACTTTTTACGGATCCTGACTTTTCCCTGCAGTCCCATATAGCTTCTTATCTCTTCTACATTGTGCTGCATAATCCCTTCAGAATAAATGTTTAGTGGCCTAGGGAACCTCAGGGAGGAGGACATTATCAACTCCCACTAGAGTATTCAATGTATGGTAGTCCAGTTCCCAGAAATCTATACCAAGCTCAGTGAATGCTTCAACAATAAAACCTACTTTCATTGCTAATGAAATTAATTAATTCCATAATTGTATTTCAAATGGGATCATTTTTCTATCTCCCGTATTTTTAAAATCTTATTTGTGTTTCAGTGATATTACGAGTGTTTTTCTTTGGCTTATTTTAGTTGTGATTCAAAGTTTGCCTCACACTGTCAGAATGTCTACTAAGTAGAAATGCACTCATGGGACACTTCCATCTATCAAGGGAAATCATCTGTTTATAGTATCTAGTTAGGATCCAGGCTGATATTTCTTACTATTGTAAACCATCCTGAAATCTGTTCATTTTTTTAAAATGATCTAAATAAGCGAAGTGCATTCCAGGGGCCCTGGCTGCCTAATTTAATTTGTCCCACCCTGTGAAAATACATAGTGAATCATATGTAGACTCCCATCATATGTGCTGTTTTTATGTTTATTATCTGCCAGTGTTATCATGCTCTATAATACTCTTTTTTTGCAGTCCTTAGATGTTATATTAATTGATAAGTATGCTACAGTCAGTGAGAGAATATACAGAGGCCACTCAGTATCATATTTACTAGTCAATTTTTTATTAACGAAAATCATATTAATTTGATAAAATTGCATCGAATAATAAATGTATTTATGTATAATCCTTATAGTGTTAGAATAAATAAAAATAATAACTGGTGGGTCATTTTGTTGTGAACAAGAAGAAATCACGTGGTTTTTGTTGCTGTTGTTATTTATACCCTGCTTTATTTCTCCCCAAAGGGGCTCAGAGCAGCTTGACATAAAAGCATTAGTATGTAATTTAAAATATACAAATATGCAAACATTAAAACAGAATTAAATATAAACAGTATTAAAATTCACAGTTAAAATCCATTAAAATATATTCATAGTTAAAAACTAAAGCACTCCCTGACTAGATCTTTTAAACCTTCATCTTTAAAAGCCTGTTTTAGTCTGCTGATGGAAGGCCGATAAGGAGGGGGCCATTCTGACTTCCCTGGGCAGGGAGTCCCAGAGTTGAGGGGCAGTTGCCGAGAAGGCTCGCTCTCTTGTTACCACCAACTGAGCTTGAGATGGTGGTGGGACCAAGAGAAAGGCTTCTACTGAAGATCTCAGGGCCTGGGCAGATTTGTACAAGGGGTTGTGGTCATAGAATCTTACATAGAAACACAACATCCATCTAATTTTAGCCTAACCCCCACTATATAAAGAACATTTTGAAAGTGTTAAATAAATCCTGCAGCAGTTAGATTGGCACCAGTAGTGCATGCTACAATGAAAAGGGGGTAAATGTTAAAAAAAATGGAGTGCTGCATTTCACCATTTTTCATTTAAGGCATAAATTAGCCAACTGTAAACATTCCATACTTTATTGAGATTTTAAATCATACAGATTCTTACTCATGGTTTCAGGAATTCCCACTATGGATAGTTCTGCACCTACACAGTTGCACATTTGGAAGCTTTCAGGGCTAGTTAATTCTTTTGGCAGGAAATCTACCCCTACTGGACTATTCCCGTTTCCAGTGTTATCATGCTTAATCTCCTCAGTTTCTTTTGTCTGCTGCATTTGGAACATTGTAGAGAACTTGCTTTTCAGTGGACAAGCTAGTTTTTTTTTTCAAATCTTCTACTGTTGCCTTTTGGCTTTTCCTTCATTTTTTAAAAAAGAGAGTTCTTATTTTTCTCTTGGTTGCTCATGTTTTGTCCCCTTTGTTCACCAGAAATTGTTTTCCACTTCCCTTCACGGTCTTATGGCCTCTGTAGACCTCTTCAAGAAGGATCTCAATTGCTGCCTAAAACAAGTCACCATATAAAGCTTCTGTGGGTATTTATTTCTCTAAAGAGCCAATGGAATCATCAGTGGAGGTGTGGTGTATACCTGAACTCAAACTCTACTTCTGTTTTGTGAAACCCAGTGAGTGGTTCCATGCAGGGGTTGATACCAAGAACACCTGGCAAGAGCACATAAGGACGGATAAAAAGAAAGACAACAAAAAAGATCTGGACTCTCAGTATTGAAGAAAAAGAAACTTCGGATCTCTCACCAGTATTTTTTGCATCACAGTCTTTGATTTCTGTCTTTGATTTCAGTCTTTGCATCACAGTCTTTGATTTCAGTAATTCAGAATGGTTGATCTTGCCTAAGGACTGTATGAAATTGCTGTTGCACTAAATGTTTCCTCTCACATAACTGCCTCTGATCCTGAGGCTGTCAAGCATCCTCCACAGTTAGATTTTTCTCTTTCCTGTGTTGAAGTGAATTAAAAGAAATCTCATGCTAGCTGCCCAGGATCTGGTGGAGGCCCAGTTTCCTGACTCAGTGTCAGAAGATGAGATTATGCAGAGGTGTTCTATCTTATAGAATCATAGAATCAAAGAGTTGGAAGAGACCTCATGGGCCATCCAGTCCAACCCCCTGCCAAGAAGCAGGAATATTGCATTCAAATCACCCCTGACAGACGGCCATCCAGCCTCTGTTTAAAAGCTTCCAAAGAAGGAGCCTCCACCACGCTCTGGGGCAGAGAGTTCCACAGCTGAACGGCTCTCACAGTCAGGAAGTTCTTCCTTATGTTCAGATGGAATCTCTCTCTTGTAGTTTGAAGCCATTGTTCCATGTCCTAGTCTCCAGGGAAGCAGAGAACAAGCTTGCTCCCTCCTCCCTGTGGCTTCCTCTCACATATTTATACATGCTTATCATATCTCCTCTCAGCCTTCTGTTCTTTAGGCTAAACATGTCCAGCTCCTTAAGCTGCTCCTCATAAGGCTTGTTCTCCAGACCCTTGATCATTTTAGTTGCGCTCCTCTGGACACATTCTAGCTTGTCAATATCTCTCTTGAATTGTGGTGCCCAGAATTGGACACAATATTCAAGGTGTGGTCTAACCAAAGCAGAATAGAGGGGTAGCATTACTTCCCTAGAGCTAGACACTGTGCTCCTATTGATGCAGGCCAAAATCCCAAAAGTCTTAACTTGAGCCTCCTTATATCTTTCCAGTTCAGCTGGATATATTGGATGTACCTCAGTTTCATTCTCCAAATGTAATTCCTCACCACTCCCAATGTGTTTTGTCTCACTGTTTCTACAAACTGTATTCAGGAGGATTGTTACACACTATTTTTTATCCCTATTGAAAGCACCCTCTGCCATCTTCATGGGACCACCTCGCTTATGGGGAACCAAGCTAGTATGGCGATTATACTGGGATGACATCTCTCATGGCCTTTTTCCTATAAGAGAAAGGGTCTTTGATTACTTGCAGTACCCCTTCATCATCCATCTGCTGTGGTGTCTTATAAGTGTTCCTCTCTTTGGCCTTGACTGCCTACTCTTTTTGTACTTGATTTTGCAAATTTTAACATGCGGGATAAAGCCCTTTTTTCCTTACAAGTACAAGGGATGCTCTTTCTACAGTAAGGAAGCCCTCTACAAGACAGTCATACAGACTGAAGTGGTGTAAATTTCTTCTCTTTTTGGATATTGAATCAATTCTACACAATCGGATTCAAGCACAACATTCCTGCTCTCATTGAGTAACTCAAGATTTTCCAACCCTTCACTGTGTTTACATGACTATCATTTCTATTCATGTTCATCTTCCTTGTCATCCCTCCTGGCTTGCATAACCCTTGGTTGAGAGCTTCCTCAAGGGCTTTTGTAACCTTAGCTGCACAGTCAGTCCAGTAGTACCATCCACTTTTTATCCATGATGCAGTTTGGCATTTCTCATTGCTATCAAATCAAGGAGTAGGTCTAATGAGCTTTTTTGTTCTCAGATCTGATTCTCCATTTATTTAGTTTTAACGGGATTGAGTAACTTTATGCCGTGATCTTTCCTTTTTTGCTTTTTTGTTTCATATGTCACAAACAGCTGTGTTACCTCCCATTTTCCCAAACTCTTTACAAATTTAAGTAGAAGTTAAAGTACGATTGTTGATTATTTAATAGCTTGAACAAATTGTATTGAATCTATACAAGTTGCATTCGTTCTCATTTCAGCTTTTTGTCCAGCTGAAATTATTGACCTCCAAACTCGTTATAACAATCAGGTCTGGATGTAAGCAAGACATGTGTCACTATGGCCAGATGAGATGTTTCCAAGAACGTTACGCTATCTTTATGCAAATCTACTCCTAACTACTACTCCTAACATCTGAGCTTCCAAACTCAGAGCTGGATCCATGAATATACCCAAACTGTGAATATTATTTTGTGTCTTTCAATTGAGGACATCTGTCTTACCTAGATTAAGATTTGTTTACTGTCATCTAGTCCATTACTGATGACAGTAATTGGTTTAGAATGCAAGTACTTGCTTGGAACTTGAAAAGGGAAATAGAGTTGAGTATCATTAGCGCCAGGCAAATCCTCACACTGGTTTCGTTCACAGATTAAATATTGTAGGGGACAAGGCAGAACCCAAGTAGGCAAATAAGAATCTCCCAGCACCATCTTATGAGTTTCCCACTCCAGGAAGAAGTAGAACCAATGTAAAAAAGTTCAAAACAGGTGAGGGTTTGTGTAGAATGACTTAGAAGAATACCATGATTGGTGGTATTAAAACGTTCTGACAGATACAGCAGAAATAACAGGATTATGCTCCTCCTGTTAAGTTTCCTAGCTTTGAGCCAAAGCAACCAAAGCTGTCTATACTCCATGGCCAGGCCTGAAACAAAAGGACTGCAACAATCTATTTGAACCCATGGAAGTTGGAGGCCATCACACAATCTTGTACTTTGCCCCAAAACAGAGTATTGGAGACTGGCTGATAAAAGTCTAATACAGAGGGATTTTGGGAAGAGGTTTTTTTTAGTAGATTTCTTCTGATTGCTTCATTCAATCATGTTAGAACCTTACCTTACTGTAGTGAAGTATCAAGCACTCTCTTACCCACTGATCTAGTCCCCTTATGGCCTGTTGAGTCAGGAGAGGAAAGATCTAGAACACATGTAGTAACAAGTAGTCTCTCTGTACTCTTGGACCCCAGATCTTTTAACTTGAGAACTAACCTTTCAGTTGTTTTCACTTCTTATGTTTGTGTTTTAGAGTAATTTACTTTTAAGTGTTCAAATATATAATTACCTATTTCATGTTAATTTCTAGGGGAAAATTACTGGATTTTACATGTATTTCTTGAATCTTCTTATGTGTCAATGTGTACTGGCATACTTTTGATTTGTTTTGTTGGCTAAGCTACAAGATTCCATCAATTCTTTCCTGCCCTCCCTCTGAGTGAGTGAGATAGAATGTCTTGGGAGTATTTTCTTTGGACCCCTCTAATAGATTTTATTTATATATCGTATGCTGTAAATTACTGTGAATTTGAGAGTTCCAGCAGTTTTTGAAGGGTCAATCTGTTGTTTGTTCTTAATTGTGCAATACAATGTGAAACATATCTAGAGGGCATAGTCACCCTTCTTTACAGCTATGTTTGATTGTCCCACCGGTATGTACCTAATAACTATTGAAGACAGCACAATGTTTTTTGTGGAGTCAGCCAAAATAGCCTTATGATTTTACTGCATGATAGCTAGTGTGGGATATAATTCTTGTAAAACATATTTATACAGCCAAAATGATGTAGTGGTTTGAATGTTGGACTGTGATTGTAGAATCCATGTTTTGATATTGTTGGTTATAGGAACCCTTTGGGTGACATTGGGCAAGTCATACTCAGAGGAAGGCAAAAAGACAACCTCTCTCTGAACTAATCTTGCCTGTGATGGGGTTGTGCACCCTGAAAATTATTTGAGGGTGCACAACAATACACACATCTCTACTTTCATGCAAGAAGGATTGTTTTACTTTTCCAGTTATATGGTGCAAATGAATGGTATCAAAACTACTTTTGGGGACCTGTAAATAGTTAGCACTGAGAATTAGTCATAAATTGTACATATATTATTAATAGGTAAAAACAAAACCTGGGGAGGGAAAACTGAATCAGCAAAAGAAAAAAATTAATGAAGATGCTCAGAAAATGGTCAAGACATGATATGTGGAATCACAAAGCCTCCTTCCTTCATGGGGATATTTAGAATCCATTTTTTCAAATTTTCTGAACCAAGTACTTTGAAATTATTTTTTTGGATAAGTTAAAACTAAGAGTTATTGGTTCAGAAATTTGTAAAGCATCATTTCAAATAGCCCACTGAAGGAGTCATAATTGGTAATTGGCAAAACAAAAATCTTTTGTCTCCTGTTTCCTCTGTGGATTTGTGATTTTAACCTTCAGATTAATATTTGTACTGTATAGGCAATCCCCAAGTTACAAACAAGATAGGTTCTGTAGGTTCATCCTTAAGTTGAATTTGTTTGTATGTTGGAAGAGGTCCAGGAAAAAAGTGCACTCTTTGTAATTTTGCCAGAAAAGTTTCTGTGTAATTAGAATCTCTTTTTAAAAAAACACCAAAACTTCTAAGCAATTTTAAGGAAAACCATAGAAATAGATAACCCTTCCTTCAAGGAGCCTCTCTTGTTTATTCTGCCTCAGCTTTCTTGGAGTGTATGTATGTTATGAAATAAATGAAATTTGTCCCACTTTAACTGCCCCGGCTCATTGCTATGGGATCCTAGGAGCTGTAGGTTTACAAGTTCTTTGGTCTTCTCTGCCAAAGAATGTTGCTGCCTCACAAACTGCTACTCCCAGTATTGCATAGCATTGAGCCAGGGCATTTAAAAATGGTCTCAGACATGAATGAGAGGATAGGGGAGGTGGAGAGATACAGGGAGAATGGAGGAGAGATTGATAGGAAGGAAAAGGGGGTTGGAGAAATGCATGGGAAGTAAAGGGGAAAGGGGGTTGGAGATATAAACAGTAAGAAAAGGGAAAGGGGTTTGGAGCGATTGATTGGAAAACAAGAAAAGGGGTTTGGAGAGATCCATAGGAAGCAAAGGGAAAGTTGGTTTGGATAAATTGATAGGAGTTTGGAAAGGTGCATAGGAAGATAAGAAAAGCAGTTTCGAGAGGTGCATAGGAAGAAAAGGGAAAAGTGGTTAGGAGAGAGATCAATGGGAAGAAGTTGGATGTTTGTAACTAGGGACTGCCTGTACTTGGTTATATTGTGAGCACAATTTGAGTCTCTTTTAGAAAGAAAAAGTAGAATTATTATTAATTAAGTGGAAGATAAATAAGTAAAGGGGAGGTTTTGAGGCCAGAATTATGGTTCTCCTAGGATGGACTAAGCTCTTGCATTTACCACTCCACTTTGAGAAGGGAGTGGTTCTTTTTTATGAGTGTTAAAGGTACAGTACTCACATTGGTCTGTGGATAAGTCAACCCAGGTTTTTTTTTGGGTTAGTTTTTTGACTAAAACTTCTAGAGTTACACATGAGCAATATAGGGTATCTTTAATGCTTACAAGGTAGAATTAAAACCTTGCTAAAGAAATTGAAGTCAAAGCCATTTATTAATTTATGTTGAAAGCTATTAAAACTTTACTTAGAAAAATAGTACAATTGTTTATGGTTTTTTTCCTATAGTTGAACCAATTGTGAGCCTAACAAAGGGACCAAATACTTTAATAGATGGAGCCAATCAAACTGTTGCAGCCGTTTGCACAGCAGCCACTGGAAAACCAGCTGCCGATGTTGTCTGGGAAGGTGATCTTGGTGAAATGGAATCCACTTCAATCTCTTTTCCAAATGAAACTGTGACAGTGGAGAATCAATACAAGCTTGTCCCCACCAGGTTTGCTAGAGGGAGACATATAACTTGTGTTGTGAAACATCCCGCTTTGGAAAAAGAGATAAGAATGGATTATGCATTGGATATTCAATGTAAGTAATTATTTTCCCTCATCATTTTACCCTCTAGAAAATAGCTCAAATTGCAAAGGCTAAAATAATTCACAACTATCTGGGTGGACCACAGAATGAAATATAAAGTATTGTGATTAGACCAACCAAAAGGAGCAAAATTCACAGCTTCTTCATTAGGCAAAGACCAAAATAAATCATGCAATGGAAGGAAGAATACTTTTATTTATTCTCAGATAAGTACCTTTGAAGTGCTTGCTTAAAATTTGTTGGGATAGGATCTATGCAGACATGCTATACCATGCCTCCCATGTCTCTTGGGCATTTGAGGGGAAAAGGTTAAAGAAAAAAAAACCTTCAGACACTGTAATGATTACTTTGCTTAAAAATAATAAGGCCTCAGGCATGCCTATTTGCTGCTATATGTTACATCTTCCTTACAGAGCTACCAGTTGCTACCTTGGGTATTTGTGAACCCATGCAAGTTTTTATGATAAAGGGGAAAATTACATTTATGTAGAATTTTGGCTTATTTATTTATTTATTTGCAGTATTTATATACCATTCTTCTCAACCCCGAAGGGGACTCAGGGCAGTTCACAGTGTAGACTTCCTGTAATTTTGAGAAGAAGACATAGCAGAACAGAAATAAACCGCCTTTCTCAGCCTTATCGGTAGATTAATTATTTTTCCCATCTTTGAAAAATTAGGGCAATACATTTCTTGATGGAAGCAAATTGGTTGAACCTATCCAGCATTTAGTCTCAACAATGGTAAAGCAATTGAATCATTGGGAATCTGTTGGGTTAGCACAGTGGTTCTTAACCTAGGGTCCCCAGATGTTTTTGGCCTACAACTCCCAGAAATCCCAGCCACTTTACCAGCTGTTAGGATTTCTGGGAGTTGAAGGCCAAAAACATCTGGGGACCCCAGGTTGAGAACCACTGGGTTAGCACTTAGGAAAATGCCATTGATTCACGGAGTATAGTATAGTTGGGACTAGCAATTAAATTTAGGCATGGTTTCCAAATCCTCAAAACTGTGCAGATCTGCCTAAGTGTGTAGCATGCAGAAGGGGAAATATGTAATGGTTATTAAATTATTAAGGATTTAAAGTTACATAAATCTTGTTGCCAGAGTCTAATTTTAATACCAGTTTGAGAATAGTTCTTTCATGTTCTCTTCTATGATATCTTACAATTATGTGTATTTGTAGATTCCCCTGAGGTTACAGTAACCGGGTATGATGGAAACTGGTATATTGGACGAGAGAATGTTTTACTCAGGTGTAATGCTGATGCAAATCCACTGCCAATGGAGTTTACATGGAGTCGGTAAGTTCTTAACCTCAATAAATTTGATAACAATAATAGGCTACACAGAGAAGCCATTGAAATCCACAAGCATGTGGACAATTTCAACAGACAACTTTAAATGAAAATGAACAAAATCTGGCTACCAGTATTAAAAAAACTAATTAAAACTAAAACTAAAAAATATAACAGTAAATTAAGAGCAAAACTCAAACACTGGGGAACTCCAGACAAGAAACAATCAGGAACAGCTAATCACCTTTCAACAAAGGATTCCCCCAGGCAGTAACAAGCCACACCTAAAAGCTGTCAGGCCATCAAATACTAACCAAGGTGGCCAATTGAAACATTCACATCTAACTCCAACAGACAAGAGTTCTTTCTCCCACCCTGGACTTTCCACAGATATATAAACCCAATTTTTCTAGTTTCCAACAGACCTCACAACCTCTGAGGATGCCTGCCATAGATGCAGGCAAAACGTCAGGAGAGAATGCTTCTAGAACATGGCCATACAGCCCGAAAAACCTACAACAACTAAATAATAATCAGTGTTATTTTTTTTAAAAAAATACTGAAACATCTTTAAACTCATAAAACCTTAAATACTACGTTCATACTCCTTACATAACCATTTAAAAAAGTTTTTGCCTAAAATGGTCTCAGACTTCATTTCTGCATAAAATAGTTTTTGGCTTTGACATCAACCAGAACATTATACGCTCAACATCCTTCCAAAACCTTCATCTGATGTGGAATGGATGCTTCACTATCTTGGTGGTATTAAAAGGACGTTGGCTTTTTATGTTAGCAGAACTCTTCCAGTCTGCTTCTGTGATATTCGTTGGAGAGCTAGATAGATTCGTATTCTCTCAGAGCCTTTTGAAATGGGTAGCAATTGCCATTTAGCTAGTTTATGAACTTGTTGACAGGCAGCCTTAAAAAGGCATTTGAGGCCACTCTGTGAGATAAGTAACCACCTTAGCTGCTTTTATAAGACAGGTTCCTCTTGATATTATTTGCAAGGCCACTGTGTGGTCTCCACTTTTAATGTTTATGTCTCATTATCAAGTGAAGACCAGATCTTGAAGGGACGCTGCTGTATTGCTTCTGTGTGGCATGGCACCCACCTTCTACAGGACAGAACCCACCTGTCTCCACTAGATAACTGTTCTGGAGTACACTTATGGAAAAGGAGGGAGGAGAATGCTTTAGCACCTTGTTGAAGGTTTTTGAATAAACATGATACTTAATCTCTACAGTGCTGATATAAAATATAATCATTATGTTCCATAGTTTTTTCATTTTAACTATTGTGTGAATGATCTTATTTTTATTCTATAGAAAACCTTAGTATTTCAAATAAAATCTTACTCTCAGAATACTCAAACTACCTGTAAACATTTTGCAATTCAGATTAGATGGAAGTTGGCCTGAAGGTTTGCAGCCCTTAAACAATACTCTGCATTTCAACAGCCCATTGACTTACAATTATACTGGAACCTATATTTGTAAAGTGGCCAATTCATTGGGCCAAAGAAGTGATCAAAAGACTATCTACATATTAGGTAAGTGATTTGTTTCCTGTTTTTCCTTGCACTTTGAAAGTATAACCTTCAAAATAGTGCTCTGTCAGAAATATTATGATACTAGAAGTTGGGTAATGTTTGGTTTTTATCTCTGTTAGCTTTGGAAGCCCACCTGCTTCATTGGTTGTTTGTACCAGGTTTGTCCTAAAATCTTTTAGAAATGAGTACTTCTTGGTGATAGCCCCATGACACTGAAATATCCAACTCATCTGCTGTTATTTCTCTCAGTTACTTTTTGCTAAAACATTCATTTGGCGATCCTTAACAGTATATGGTTCATCCTTAAAATGTGGTGTCATGTGCACTATAAGATGGGATGATAGTTGTGACCTACTTAGAAATTGGCATGGTCTTCCAAAGTAAGCTAGTTCGAAATTTCTTCTCTGGTATCAGAGCTATTCTTGAAATCAGCAGCTGGGACAATGTTTTTTAGCACTGGGTAGGATTGTTTCCTCATATAAATTCTTGTACATGTATGTACATATATTTAAAGATACATTTATTCCGACTGCACAAGTTACTGTGGTAGCTAGAGAAACTGGGAAGAATTGGAAAGATTTGAAAGTGCGGCTCATTCAGTTTATAGCTGAAGAATAAAAGCAGTTTGGCACAACTTTAACTGCGATGGCACAATTCTGTGGAATCCTAGGTTTTATCGTTTGGTGAGGCACCAGTACTCATTGGCAGGGAAGGCTAAATACCTTGTAAACCTATAGCTCCCATGATTTGAAAGCATTGAGCCTTGTCCGTTAAAGTAGTGTCAAACTGCATTAATTCTACAGTGTAGAATCTGTCTGAGATAAGAAAGTTTCTTTTAATTTGAATCCACACCCCCATAGTAGCTTAAAATTGGATTATTTTACAGAGTTATTGAAAGGATTACAAGTAAATGTATTCAGAATGTTTTGTAAAGATTAACTCTAATACTAGTACTACAGAAATTTCATGCTTGTGGAAGATGTAGTGTCCTCGCTTTACTTTCAGTTGACATAGATTGCCTTGACATCAAAATGTAAAACCTTTGTAACAACAGGTAGTTGAAGGTAAAACTTGTGCTGTGAATTCTTGTCTCCAGTATGAGAGGGAAACAAGAGTTCATATTTTCTCCCAGAGTTACATCTTTAAAATGCTCAATTCTGCTTTTTTCTGTCTGCTTTGAGAAGAGCTCTCTTGATTCAGAACAATGACCTATTTAAATCAAGAATTATACCTCCTGCAGAGGTCATTTAGATGCTCTGTAAAATCAGTAAGCAGAGCATGAGTACAGTAGCCCATTCTTTGTTGTTTTTGTTTTTGTTTTGGTTTGTTTTGTTTTTGCTACAACACGTGATATTTAGCAGCCCTACATTCCTGGATGTCTCTTCCTGTCTTCTGTCAGGCTAGGGACAAAGGGCTGGAGAGAAGCGAGTTTACCAGGAAATACGTTGTAGGCAAGTAGGATTATCACAGATATATCAAGCTTTTACTAAAATCCCTGATGATCTTGGGATGTAATATAATAGACTGCAGACTTTTGAAAATGGGCTAGACAGCTTGAACATTCAAATGATTGTCCTCCTTGGGATTTGTTGTAATAAGGCTATGAAATAACTGCCCTCTTTTTCCTAATCAGAAAATGGTTTAGGTTATCTCTAAACCCAATGACCTTCCTATATACACTGTAACGCTATTGGGAACATAATGGTATTTGTATCTATTGCCTTATCTAAAACACTCATATTCCATTGGTGAAGCAGAACATGGAGGTGTAAAGGCAACAATCCTGTTGCATGTTTTGTTTAGGGTGAAGTTTGGTGGACAGCTGTCCACTTCTAACAACAATCCAAAGAAGTTTATATCATATAAAAACCTGCAGGTCCTCAGTGACTCAGCATTGTTATATTTGTGCAACAAACTAATTTGACTAAGTTCTTAAGAATTCTTGTTGTGTTTAGTTTTCCCATAGTGCCTAATGTTTGCTGCTGTTGTATGGTTGGCAGAGGACTTTTTTTAGAGCAGGATTATAACAGCCCTTTTCGTTTAGAATGGAAACAAATTGCCAATATTCCTTACAAGCTTGGAGCAGTATGCAGGACAGCCTGAGAAGAGGAAAAAGTAGATGTAGATATGGTAGAAGCAAATTCTGTAGGTGTGCTTTAAATAAAAATAGGACTCTATTTGAATTTTATGTTTACAAATGTTCCAGTTATATTATACAAAGCTCAGTTCAGTGATTATTTTCATCTATTCACAATAATTGTGGAAAGGCTTTTTATTTAGGACTGACTAAGCTTGGGAACATTTTTACCTTTTTTCATTTTATAGTTAGACATTTTTTTCTTATTCTTTTAAAAACTTACTTGCTTACTCTACTGACACTGTTTTTTGAAGTTACTTTCCTCAGCTTTACATTTTTGTTATGTTACCTTGCATGGTTTTAGTGTGTGTCTAACTCTGCTCCATCCTGGGAATTAATTTGAAATATGGAATAAATACTTCAGTGATTTTGAGAATATATAGAGAAACTACAGACCAAGGTTAACAGGTGAATCAAGTTTGGTAAAATTTCTATTGATCTTTTTAGCTATAAAGATCTTTCACATTTGTCATACAGTGTAAGCTTCAATTGAATATAAAAAGCCACTGTTTGCATCACAAAGCAGTAAACCTACTTTCACATTAATGCATTGTGGGACATATTTTATAGTTTTTATTTATGGTCTCTGAGGGTCTTCTGAGCCTGCTCAGTGCATCATTCAGAATCTTATAGAATTATTATGTGTGTGTTTTGGCAGAAACTCCACCCATTGCCTTTGTGCCATATTAGCACACTTCCTGCCTAAACTCTACGTTTATTCTTGTTTGCTCTTGCAGCAGCATCATAATACAAACATCTTGGAACTTTCTTCTTTTTACTATTTGTTTTTTATACTTTGCGTTTTGGCTTGTTTTAAACGGATTTCAGTTGGTTTGGAATTTGGATTGAACTGATCAGATTTTATAATTCATAAAATCTGATTTTATGAATCAGATTTTATGAATCAGACAAAACTAGAGTTGGAAAACCAGTTTTTAAAAAGTTACAGTAACAAGACCATGCTCCAGATTTAATTCTTTTGATGTGTTGACGTTTCTGAACAGTTTCAAAAGCAGTTCCACATAGATTATGTTCGAAACTGTACTTAAGGCAAGTGTCACCATAGTCAGATGTAAAGTCTCAGGGACCACATTCAGTGAATATACTAGTTTGTATGTCTAGCAGATATTTAGGGATGTTTCACCCTTTTTCTCTTTTACTTGGCTCCTTTCCCAGTTCAAATGTTATATATAAATTCGTTCACATTTTAGGCCCATATATCAAATCTGCATTGAATATAACATTGCATTATGTATTTAATTTTGAAAATAGCGAAGTTATAGCCTTGGTATTGAGCAGATATCAATGGTATGTTAAAAACATTGGATTTTATTTTATTGATAGGGTTCAGAAGAGATGCAACACTATTTTCTGCTGGAATAGAAAAAAAACATTGTGAGATAGCAGTGACTTGTTAGAATGAAAGGAAACTAGACTATGAAGAAGTTTGAAATGATGCATATAACGGAAGCCATTTCTAAAGAAGGAGCAGTCCATAGTGCCCCCCTTTAAAAGACTGAGAGGAGAATATTGTGACATATTAAAGACATTTATATTGGCATAGTATATTGTGGTCTAAATCCCTTCAGATAGATACATAAAAGGCTACCCTTGAATGGAAGGCATCTATATCATGCACTTTGGGGGGAAAATTAACAGAAGAACCAAATGGCCATGAAAGAATTGCTGCTGCTGTTGTTATTTGTATCCTGATTTTATCTGTGTGATTGAGGTGCAAAGTGTCTTATGACAGAAGATGGGGTTACTTCTTTTTCCCATTCTTAAAGTTATCTTTCTATAGAACCATTCCACCAGATTTAAATGCCATAATTTTCTTGCTCTCATATATTTAATCTTTCATATATTTCTAAAATATCTCCTGAGAGTAGTTGAGAGTAAAGGAAGAGGAAGTCACCAAACTTTTCTGCTGTAATATTCTGTCCAGTTCTGCATGTAAACACCTTGTGCATGGAAAAAACTTGACATTACCTTCCCAATAACACAACCTCTCCCAATGGTATCGAGCAGACAGAGGTCCACTGTCCATTGTATATTGCAAGCATGCTTGTGTGGTTTTACCGGTCATCAGAATTTTTGTTGCCAGTAAGAGAAAAGTTTTCCTGATCTCTAACCTGGACACATGTCAAAAACTGCAATTTTCAAGACTTGTAAGAATTATATTTTTGAAAATTGTAGGAGCTAAATTTATTGTTTAAAACTAAACAATAAAACTATTTCAGGATTGGTGGAGTTTATTTTCAGGTCTCCTTTGAAGACTAAACATCATTGTTCTAGACCTGTACCTTCATCTGTGCAGTATTTCGTTATACAAGTACTCTTTTCTCATTTAACATGCTAAAATTCTTATGTGAAGAGTTTAACAAATTGTCTGATGGGATTGAGTAACGAATCCATACAATGACACATTATGTAGATCTAGCAACACTAGCCTTCTGTAATATTTATTGAATGAATTCTTTAACTTGGTAAGCAAGGCATTACCCCAAAAAAGGGTATGTGTAGATAATAACATGAATGTTACTGTATAAGTCAACTGGGGTTAATTAAATTATTCACAATATTCTCAGCTGAAATATAATCACAGTTATATTTAAAATGAAGTTAATTGTATAACAGCATATAGCTAAATAAATCTAAATTTAAATCCTGTCTTGCCTACTCAGCTAATGATGTCTTGGAATAAATGACTTTAATGTTATACTAACATTTCACTAACACCTTCTTCTAGTTGATTATAGAGGTTTGTAGGTAGCTATATGGTAATTTTTAGCTTCTCCACATACCTTCACTTTACTGTGAATAGACTGCCTCTTGATCCTTTCACTTATATATTATCTTAGGA